CAACTAAAGCACCAGTCACTAAACCTAAAGGTACAGCTTTAGCTTTTACAATATTCTTCTTTAATGAACAATGCCTAACATTGTCATTATTATGATGTTGCAGGTCCACCTCGTCCTGTTATCTTGTACCCATTCGATGGCAGTTTTACAAACCGTGAACTGCTCAACAGAAACCCTCCTGCCTTTATGACTTTGGTAAGACCAGCTCCTGGTCCTGATAAACGTCCAGGGGGCTCTTTCGAGCTTGAAGGACGCCCAGACAGCTACATTAAGATTCCTAACTTTGGTCGCCTTGATGTCATGCATTCCATCTCGATTATCATGTGGGTGTACCCCAAGGGTCCAGGTCCGATCCTCCATTACGATCCAAGTGGTGAAGGTGTTAAGATCTGGTTTATTAAGCCTAACATCTTAATGGTGCAGTATGTCACACGATCTCCTAGACGATTATTGCCATACCTGGCAGGAAAGATTACCAAATGGAAATGGAACTACATTAGTACAACCTATGACAAAAAGACTGGTATAGCAGCTCTCTACATCAATAAAAAACTCGTTACCAAAAAGAAGATCGGTATTTTTGATTTGGCTACCAATTACCCCGTTGTGATTGGTGCTAAGCCAGGCAATAAAGARCGATACCGCGGTAGAATATCTTGCCTGCAGATTTTCGATGTGGCTTTGACAGCTCGCCAGGTCTTTAACGCAAGAAGCAAGTGCTTTGGATCCAGTAAGTAAAGAAGCGTTTTAAAATTAATTTATAGAGAAATATCAAGCCAGCCACTAATGGTAAATTGTTTTTCGATCTGTCATAGGAGCACACCCAACAATTAAAGCCTCGTCCAAACCATGCCTGACAGGTAATCAATCATTGATTTATAACGAATCTTTTAAAAAGTTTTTTTTCTCCTTCAAACTATTCTTTTGTTGATCATCTTATCTGTTACCAGGCAACAACTGAATTTTTGTCTTGTATTTTAGAACCCAAACGTCTCATCGCTGCGTACCCACTTAATACCGATACTCAAGGCAAGGATATTTCGAGTAACAACTTACCAGCACGTCTTGGTGACGTGGTACCAGCACGAGGACCAGATGGCATACCTGGAAGCTCTCTCTTCTTCAAGGGAAAACCAAACAGCTACGTCACATTCCCCAATAGAGGACCTCTTGATACAAAAGATGCCATCACTATGATTGCTTGGATTAATCCATACGGACAATCAGGACCGATCGCTAACTTCCATCCTAATGGCTGGGGAGTACACTGGTGGTATATTAGGCCTAATAGATTATTTATTAGGTTCATCAAGAGGAAAGGCCGTCGATCCACACCTCCTTTGGTATACCGTCGCTTGAAACCTGGACGATGGGCATATATTGGTGCTTCCTACAGCAAGCGTACTGGAGTTGCATCGTTGTATGTGAACTCTCGTCGTGTAAAGAAAAAGTATATTGGAAGATTCCGCCTTGCTACCAACTATCCAATCAGAATGGGAGCTCGTATCGGTGATAAGAGATACTTCAAGGGAAAACTCTCTTGTTTCCAAGTCTTTAACTATGTTCTGAAACCAAGTGAAATGGCAAAAAGAAAACGATTTTGCTTCAGAAAAGGTGAGTTTGTCTGTACATTATCTGTGCGGGTGCCCAAACAATTTAACAGCCAGAGATTTGAAAATCAATCACTAAAAAAATATCTACGTAAACTGATGGAAAACTATTTTCGAAGCAGTTTTTGTTTGATCATCATCGATATCATTCTCATTGGATAATCAAATGTAATAAAAGTAATTAAACACATTTTGTGGAAATATTATGTTAGTCAGTATCGTTGCTAGGCTCCTTTTCTCTCTTTCCTCTGGGTTTTTTAGTATTTTCTTATGTGTTACTTATGTTGTTTACAATTAGGAGTTGGACCAACCCGAAGACCTCCCCCATCGACGACACGTAAGTCAGACAATGTATAATACTTTAACGTACTAGAGTTCTTGCTTTTTTAACTGTAAGTTGTCTATTGTATCTTGTTCAAAAGGTCTTCCCAAACCCGCTGCACTGTTCCCACTCAACCAAGGAACGCGCGGTAAGGATCTGAAAAAACGAAACCCATCAGCCAGACTCCGTAATGTCCGCTACACGCGAGGTCCATATGGAAGGCCTGGTGGCTCCACTCGATTCTTAGGAAAAGGAAACAGTTTTATTCAATTCCCTAACCGTGGTGGACTGGATACTCAAGATTCTATTACCATTCTTGCCTGGATCTATCCAGAAGGACGCCCTGGACCTATCTTCAACTTCCATCCCAATGGAGATGGTGTACAGCTGTGGGCAAGAGGACGACAAGGCAGAATTCTCTCCGCTATGTTCCCTAGACGAGTAGGAAGAAAAAAGACTCCTATGACACAGAGACGTGTCCTTCAGCCAAGGAAATGGCAATTTATAGGTGCTAAATACGATCCAAAAACAGGATATGCCTCTATCTGGAAGAATGGTCGACTTGTAGCAAGGCAGAGAGTGGGTCGGTTTAAGCTTGCTACCAACTATCCTGCTCGCATGGGAGCTCGTTTAGGCAACAAAAAGTACTTCAAGGGTAGAATATCATGTCTGCAGGTCTATAAAAAACCACTGACCAGAAGACAGATCGTCGCAGCAAGACTTGCCTGCAGTGACTGTAAGTAGCAACCATTGATAATTAAAGTTCATAATTATAAGAAAGCTTGCTTAATAATTACTCATTGCTATTTGTTCTCGTCATATCAGATCGTCCGGCTCCTACTAAAAAACCAATTGGCCGTCCAACTCGACGTCCTACCAGGGTTCGACCAATCCGAGGTAAATGGCCTCTATCCTTTAATTAGATTTCTAAACCATTTACTCTTAATTAGATTTCTGTTACTAAATGATTGATCTGACATTTCTTTTTGTCTTTAGAGTCTCTCACACCGCTTGCAGTTTTCCCGTTCAATTCTCGCACCCGTGGACGGGATGTTGGAAGAAGGAGAAACAAACCTGCCAAATTGGTTGGAGTTAGACCAGCTCCAGGTCCCGACGGCCGACGAAAGAGCTCGTACCAGTTCTTTGGAAAGTCAAAGAGTTATATCGAGATTCCTAACAATGGTGGAATTGATCCCGTTAATTCCATTTCTATCTTGACGTGGGTGTATACTCAGGGAAAACCAGGTCCAATAGTGAACTTCCATCCTTCAGGGTGGGGTGTCCATATTTGGATGGTGTCACGTACAGCAGTGTTTGTTCGATTCACCAGAAGAAGAGGACGTGTCCTGACAAGACCCTTGATCTCTAAGAGAATGGAACCAAATAAATGGAAGTTCATCGCTGCTACATACAACAGACATACTCAATACGCTGAGGTTTACATCAATGGCAGACGTGTGGCTAGGAAACGTATTGGTAAGATCCGTCTGGCTACCAATTACCCAATCCGACTGGGATCTCGTAAAAAGGATCCTAGGCGATTTAAGGGCAGAATTGCTTGTCTTCAAATATACAACAAGGCACTCAATGCACGACAGATCCGGGCCAGAAAGAACGTGTGCTTTGGACAAGGTAAAATACCTTTCTTCTTGTTTCATTTTTTTGTTTGAAAAAACTGCTTTTGTTATTCATGGCTACTATATATTTTGCATGTATCCTAGGACGTTTACCCCGCCAAGTTTATCCAAGTCCAGCTGGAAGAGGTATGTATCATGTATGAAGTTTTTAATTTGGTATGACGCCATGTTGGATGGCGTAATTCAATAAGTCATTGGTTTAATTCAACCAAGATGGCGGCTATGCAAAGCAGTAATGTTGAGCTTGTGTTTAGATTAAGTCTATTAATTATCTCGGCCATTTTAATTTAACAGTTTGCCGAGCACGAATCGACATTGCCATCCTTATGGATAGTTCAGGAAGTATCGAATACTTTGGAAAAGGAAACTACGCACGCATGCGCACCTTTGTTCAGCGTCTTATCGCATCGTTCGCTGTTGGTCGACGTCTCACTCACGTATCAGTGTCGCTTTTCTCTAATCGACCTCAAGTATTATTTGGACTTAGGCGTTACTACAGCAAATACAGAATGATGAAAGCCGTTGGACGTGCACCTTACGTCAGAGGAGGAACAAATACCGGTCGAGCTCTGAATTTCATTCGTAGGGTTGTGTTTAAATTGAACGGGCGAAAACGAGGAGGATCTCGACGAAAGGTACTTATTGTAATAACGGATGGACGTTCAGAAGACAACGTTAAGGAACCAGCCAGAAAACTAAAAGCAGCCGGCGTTGGTATCATAAGTATAGGTATTGGCAAAAACTACTTGCAGCGTGAACTACAAACCATGGCTACCAACCGACGATTTGTTTTTACATCTGCATTCCGCTCCATGCAAAGGATTGCAACTATGGTCAAACGAAGAGCATGCTTCAGTAAGTGAAACCAAAGATTTACTCTTTTGATCCAATTGGCCACTTTAGAAACGAGCAAGAGACTGAGGCGAGTTTTGAATTTTAATTAGCAAAGAATTTTGTTATCTGATAAAGCAGCTCCATATTAGTAATTCTGTGAAATTCGAACGCGTTTCATTAAAAAGAATCGAGTAACAAGCCTTCAAAAGTGTGCAAAATTTACAAAGAATGTATGGTTACAGGGAACACTTTTGAAAGCCAATAATTTTGGTTCTTTTCTTTGAATCATGTTTAAATTTGCCAGACTTACTAATCTTGAGATGCTTGCTGAAATGACAAAAGTTTTTTTTCTAATGAGATTAAAATTCAAAATTCGAGCCAGTCTCTTGCTCTTTTTTTAAAGTGGCAAAAAGAGGCTTTGCACTATCACGTGCCGACGCCCATAATACAGCTTGGACTGCCTGTGGTTAGATGGCAGAACGGTGAAATCCCTTTGCTCTCAGGAATTGAATTCTTTCTCATGTAAAACGATTGTATCAGGTGATGGTGCAAAACCTCTATTGTGATTTGAAAGTTTTTCTCCTTTCGGTTTATGAATTTAATGTTTATATATTTTGTATTATAGAACCTAAGCCTGTCCGTCCGTCAGGAGGTAAGTCAGTTGATTGGTACATATCAGGCAAAAGAATGAATTAAATCTTGAATACTAATATTACTGAGTGATAACATTTTCTATTGTTTTCTTTTGTCCTACAGGTCCCAGGCCCCACGGTCGAGGTACATTGCGTTTATTTTTTAGTTAGTCTGTTCTCTAATGCTGGTTTTCACTTCTTCCTAAATGAAAACTAATTTATATCTGTTATCTTTTATTCATACTATTCTGAACAGACATATACACCGAATCAAAATATGTCGACCCAGTTGATTAGCTTTTGTTCTGGACTGATCAGCCTCGTGTTCATTTGGACATAAAGAGTTTTCACATGTATGAGAGCCTAGTCAGTCCAAAAAAAAAGTTATTCAAATTGGTCGCCATATTTCAGATCGGCGTACTCATGCACTGTGTCGATGTTTCTAGGCAAGACAGGCAAAACAGGCTTGAAGGGTATTTAATTATTGTTTATATTGTTATTATCTTTTTACCTTGCAGTTTGTGGTCGACGTATAGACCTTGCCTTTATCGTAGACGGTTCTGGAAGCATTGGAGCAAAGAATTTCAGGCTTACCATCAATTTCATCAGGCATATCGTCTCGTCTTTCCAGATATCTCCCTCAAAGACCAGAGTTGCCGTTTTGGTATACAATACACGTGCATTCCGTGCCTTCAGCTTTGGACAAAAACCAACCTTGAGATTAGTACTTTACAGTCTGAGCCGAATTCCGTACATCAAAGGAGGAACCAAGACTGGGCTAGCCATCACTACTGCTCACAAGTTCTTCTTTAGAGGAAAAACTACTCGATCTCGAGTAGCTATTGTACTGACCGATGGCAAATCCTACGATGATGTATCTAGGCCATCGAGAAACCTTCGAAAAGCAGGCGTGAGAATAATCGCTGTTGGGACTGGGACCAAGTACAGCGTAACTCAGCTGAGACAAATTGCTACTGGAAGAGCAAGTGTATTTACCTCCAATTTTAAATCCATGCTGAATATCGTTCGTCTTATCAAACGCAAAGCTTGTTATGGTAAGTAGTGGATGTCGTAACCAGGCATTCAGGTATTAAATTTTGTGTTTGCAGAACGTATTAATGAATATTTGCGGTATTTGTGAGTTTACGTGATAGAAATACGACATAAAATCTGAGTGATAAATACCACCTTGACCAAGAGAATAAAATAATGATTTCGATCTTTTTCAACGTATTATAGGCAGACCAATTCGCCCGAGCGGTAGACGCCCAAGACCTTATTCCAGACGACCCGGAGGAAGACATCCTTCACGGCCAAAACGGCCAAGGAGACCAAAACGAAAGTATTATATCAAGAAGCGTGGTTGCTGGAGAGAAAACGTAAAGAGAAACTTTCCAAGGCTTCTTGGTGTTTTCTTTGGAAAAAACGCCATACAACGATGTATGCGCGCGACACTTCGCAAAGGCTTCAAAATTTTTGCAATTTACAATGGACGATTCTGTCGATCAGGTCGAAAATCCCATCAGAAATACAGGAGATATGGACGATCTAAGAACTGTGGTATAAGAGGACGAGGTGGCAAATGGGCAAACAGTGTGTACACCATTCACAAAGGTAAGTAAGAGTGAAATCGTATGATCAGAAGGGACGGGGTCATATGTATTGTTTCCTTCCTCGCATTTCAGGATGTTGTTTCCATACGTCACGTCATATCATAGCAACCGATGGATTACTACAGGATTCTTGTTCTTTTCGATATAAGTAAAGCGCCATAGCAGTTGGAAAATGGACCAAAAGAAAGGCTAAGTTAGAGGTTGAAACGCTTTTAAATGCTGAATCCGCCTCCTATTTAGTTGTTTTATGGTCTTGTGTAATCTGGTTCGTATTTTCATCTAAACATTTGTTGATATTTGACTTTATCGGGTAATTTTTGTTGCGGGTCGGACATTTGTATTTGGGCACTCAAACTATCTTTCTAAGATTCAGCTTCTAAAACCATATCCTTTCTCTAAGTTCCCTGCTAGCAGAGTCTCTCTTACCTTTCTCTCCCTTCTTTCAGGCGGGGAGGAAGGAGACTCCTTTGATACACCGCCGTCCACGATCGTGGACGAACAAAACCAGTTTTAAAACCGATTTTTAACCGATTACATGTAGTGCGGATGAGCAAATGTAACACACCGTGGCGCCAAACATTGTTTGACGAGAGCGGCTGTCAAAATCATGACAGCGTTGCTAAGTTACGCCACGCATGCGCGACAGAAATAACGTCCTACATCGGCAGAGTCTATTTTTCTCTCTCAACCAAAACAAAAGGAAAATAGGCTCTGCTTAGCAGGGAATTCTCTAAGATATCTGTAGAAAAACAAGCAGATTGTACGATAACTAGAATTTGTGTTGATTACTAAATTGAGATAGACAATCGTCGTTATAAAAATATTTTGACCCATTTACCCTTCAAATATCCGTCATATATCCGTTAAATTCGGCACCCTCTTGATAGCTGGAACGTGACGTCACGAATGGGAACACCACTGTTACAGGGATCTGCTTAGAGACAGAGAAGAAAGGTTGTCAAACCACTTGATCCAAAGGTTCCAGTTTAAGTTTGAAATAAGGTTAAACTTAATATTTGTTTCTTTTTTAGTTCAACTTAAGTTTGTTCAATGTACTACATTATGGACATATTGACTTTAACATTAGTGACTTTGTCGTCTTTAGTAAGCATAGTAATATACGTAACTGTCTTAATC